TTGTTGGTGTTCGAGCCTCCGATCATGTACGTCTGATGGCGAAGATCCTTTCACCCAGCAGGTCACTGACGGCCAGCCTTGTTCAGACTCCCCGAGTTGAAGGTATCGACATGAAGAAGGCGTCACTCATTCATTCTTCGTGACGATACGGTTCAGACTTCTTTGACGGTGTGTGTATTCCGACAGATCCGGCCGCCGACGGCCGGATGGAGTGGAAGTCCTACACGACATCGCCTCGACTGCGAAAGGGCAGATTTGGTGGACTCTTTGGCGCTGCCTTGTCGATGAGGATCTACTACCCCAAGGCCAAGACGACCAAGTGGCCTCTCGTCGTCGTCGCTCACGGCTTCGCATCGTCATCAAAGCAGCACAGAACGCAGGCTAGATATCTGGCGTCCCGCGGCTATGTGGCCATTGCACCAGACTTCGCCAATGGTATCTTGGGCCTCAACCCAAACCACTGGCGAAATGCAGATGACATCAACACTGTCGTCGAGTGGGCATTGAACGAGACGAAAGGTGAAGGAGCCAAAGGAGAGGGATCACAGCTATTCGGTATCATCGATCATGTCAAGCCCATGGTGGGAGCGATAGGGCACTCTGCTGGCGGGTTTGCGGTCCTTCTGGCGGCTGCAAAAAAGGATACCCGCATCAAAGCCGTAGCGCTGATGGATCCTGTGGGTGATAAGGCTGGGAGAGGACTGAAGGATCTGAGAAAGATCAGGTGTGCGTCAGCGGTGACATATTCGCCTGCATCGCCGTGCAACGACCCAAAGCGAGACGACATCGATGAAGCCTCAGCGGTCGAGCTGTATGATAATTTGAGAGCAAAACCTAGGCGGAAGATCCTCATCCTGAATTCGTACCATCTCGACGGACAGGTGAGCTGGAAACTAGCTCGTGGGATCAAGAGTGAAGATCCGTCGTGTATACAGCTGTGGCAACTGCGTTTCATCTCTCTCCTTCCTCTGTTCCAGGATCCTCCACTGGGCAAGACATCTCCCTGGCTGAGACCTTTCGTTCGCCGAGCTTGTGAAGGCATCTCGAGCGAGTTCTGCCGAAAGCTCTATCGCCGCTACACTTTCGGTACAATGCTGTCCACATCTTGGTGAGAAAGGGATTGTTTGTCTTTTTCTCTTTCGTGGCTTCAGGTTGGCTTGACTATTACCTGAAGGACAAAGAGACTCAGCTAAGAGTGAAACCATATGTCTTCAGAACAAGGAATCGTGATGAAGGCCTCGCTCACGACCTTGACAGCGGTCTTCTCGGTGACTACATTCAAAGCGGATGAATGAGGAGAGGATGATGCAACAATCTTTCTGGTGTGCGTGTCACAAAAGGCTTTCATACTAAAAGCGGATGAATGAGGAGAGGATGATGCAACAATCTTTCTGGTGTGCGTGTCACAAAAGGCTTTCATACTAAGGGCGGGCGGGAGGGTGATTGTGCGCAGGAGCAGGTCGAGTCGGTACACGTGCATAAAGACATGATAGTGGGGCGGAAAGAGCAGTTTGTGTGACATCAAGTCCTATGCACGGCAGTATTGGTAGTTCCCTGCCATGTTCAAGGGACAGAGGGAGGGGTGTGATGGTAAGTTGGTGAGATAGCAGCAGCGGTATCAAGGAGCACCCTAGGCGGCCTGACGGCCAAGTCCCCTGTCGGTCTTTCACATGAAAACACGCACCCTAACATGCAACCCGGACACGCAACACGCACAGAGCAGATGCAGCAAACAGGTGGATATGCAATGCGCTGCGAACGACGGCAACATACGAGCAGACACACAACGTCGCACACACGCCACCCCAGCAACCTGAAGGCGGCGTGTGTGCGTGCGTTGTGCACCATGACTCCATACGTACATACCGCCCATCCCCAGGTGGCCCGCCAGTGCAGATCGCCCAGTCACACACAGACACGCCCTTATAACAACCACGCACGGGGTGCTGGGAGTGTATGAGAGCGCACCGCCGCCCCAGTCTCCACGGCGGAGAGGGGCAGCAGGCGGCTGACCCGTAGACACCCTCAGGGCACACCCATACACACATCACCGCTGGGAAAGGCAGAAGGGCGGCAAGACACACACACAGACCACGCCCATACCCATGCTCACACCCCTACAGACACACACCCCCGCAGGCACATGCACACCCACACGCAGGAATACCAATACCTCACGCATACCCACGCCCAGACCCACTCACACGCCCACACACACACACACACACACACACACACACAAGTACAGGGAAGGCACAGTGTGGCGAGGAAAAGACCTAGTGGGGTGAATAGGGGCCCCTCCACCAGACCTCGTCTCTGGGGAAGGGGCGGATGAATGGTGTGGCGGCCTCACTCTTGCCGCACTCCGTAAGAGCACACTCACGCCTGACTGCACACGACAAGAGGACCCACCATCGGGCCACGACACGGCCCGTCGAGAAATCCCTGTCATCCCTGTAGTGAGCTTCCTTCACTGCCTTGCCTAGCTTGTGCAAAAAGGTCTCCATGGTCGGAGACCAGCGTCCGTACGACTCGAAGGCCAAAGGCAAAAACGTGTACCCTCCCCGCGCACAGGCGACCGCATACACGTCCCTCTTGCGCTTCTCGGCCACGCGAAGGGCCGAGCCAGGCCGCTGGTTGGTGAGATTCCTGGGCTCGCCTGGGCGGTCGGCGTGGGTGGGGTGAGTGCCGGTGACGTCAGCCATGATCTTGGAGCCGTCATGCTGAGTGATCACCAGGTCCATCCGCTGTTTGTCGGTCGTTTGCGGGAGTGGGCACTGGTGGTCACGCAGCAGCTGCTCGGTCTTCACGCTAGGGCATCGGGCCTCCTTGCAGATGCGATAAACGGTCGCTTGGACGGTGTTGTGTCGGTTGGTGAGGTAGCCACGATTGGGGCACTTGAGCATGTGGTCGCCAAGGGGGTCGCAGGGCTTCGTGCACGCCCCACACGTCGCCGGCCCCTTCGCCAGGCCGAGCTGGAACTGCACGTTCCACACGAAGGCGTCTTCTCCTTTGCGCTGTGCGAGCTCTAGATTCTCCGCTTTAGGGTGCATCAGTTTATGCATGTTGATAGGGTCATCAGTTTAACGCACGTCGGGTACAAACAAACGTGAAGCACGAAGCTTCTTGACGCATTGGCGTGTCTGTAGTAGTACAAGCAACACGACCGGGGCCACTCATCTTCTTTTCCTGCTGTACGATCGTGATCGAACGTTTTGTCAGCCGCACGTGTTGTTTCGAAAGACGCATTGATACACGCCCAATTTGCGGAGGATTCACGCAGCCCTACACTGTAGGGTCGGTCGCGGCGGAGGCGTTTCTCTTCCTTCGACAAGTCGAGGGCCAGCTTGTCAGCTTCCTTGACGCTTTCGTTGCGCTCAACATCTGGGGACATGAGCTTCGAACATCACGATCGTGCGTTTCAAGACGTCCATGGGTACAGGCCACACGCCGAGATCTTGATCCAGCGGCGTGCAGACGGGCAACTTCTCTATTGTCTGGCCACCGACTACGATACTATTGTCACGCGAGAGTCGGTGGCCATCTTGAGGGAGCGCGGGGGAGGCCCTGTGGATGGCGCACATATGGGCCTCGCTCTGAGAAGCCGTGTGTCGTTCGCAATGCAGTCGAAGAAGCAGTCGTTGGTGGAAATACTCTCCAAGGCCTCTGAAATCGTGGTGACGAGGCGGGAAGATAAGCAGCCGGCCTATCGGTTGCGGGAGCTGCCAGTCAGCTTGTCAGCGAGCAGCGGCGAGGCTCATGAAATGCCTGCCTATACACGACTACTATCCTTCAGCCTGTCATCCATCAGCATCAGCATCAGATCCATCCGTCTATCCGTTCATCCCGGGCTGCATCCTCTCCATCAGCACACGGTCTACGGCATCCAATCCATCCGTCCGTCACATCCAGACACATACGTCCACACTTCCAGCTATCTGAGCCAAGCGCCTTCATCAGGGTCACAGACAGGGGCGAAGGGCATCGTGAGCATTTCGCAACATGTCCATTAGGTCCGTAACGGTCAAGAGAGAGTGCGAACTACGCCAACGGAGGGAAAAATAGGAAGTCAAGGACGAGAGATTGGTCGAAAAACACTCAAGACGCCTACTATTGTACGCACGAGATGTAGAACGCACAGCCACCACAGTCACGGCAATTGACGATCACATTTACAGGCAAAAAGTAGACTATGAGAAAGCATGAAAGCACACCGCAGACCAGGGAGCTCTTCACATGACCTCTTCGGAGACCATCTCCTTCCTCCGATGCAATGTAGACATAGGCGAGAAAGGCCAGGCCAGCATTGCACTATCAACCGATGCAATCGACCCACCAGCGCAGAATGCGGTTCAGTCGAAGGGGTATACTCTCATTTTGCACTCGTATGGCTCTCGGCAAATTATGCACTCTCGTCCATGGAAGTCATTCACAAAACACTCTACCACATACACAGACACAACCATCGTGTGACATACGTTAACTCATAGCGCAACAGCAGGCAGAGTCTGTCGGTCTCTGATGAAATGAACTGCGTCAACATCGACCAACCCTCAATCATGCGACAAACATGTCAGCACCATCCTCAGCGCCCGCCTGGCGTATCTTCTACCGGCGCCGCCCACCACGCACACACATACTCGCACTACGCGCCAACGCAACAGACAGCCGAGCACGAACCCACCCCATCACCTGGCCATACGACTTTTCTGCCCACGCAGCCTTGGTGCGCAGCTTCTCAACTAGGCGGCTGAAAAAACCATTGGCCTCTCTGCCCCACACACCATGCACGGTGACGCACAAGGGGGTGAAGTGAATGAACTTGTCCTCGCACATACGCCTGTGGTGGGCCTTCTTGGCTTTGGCCTTGTTCTTGAGGATGGAGGCGGTGGATTGCTTGCGGTAGGACGGTGCGTCAGCGTTTGTCACGCATAAGTCGAACGACACGTCCTTCTGCCTCTCCCACACCCCTCTCACCACCATGTCCGTCCGCACCCCCTTCTCCCCCTCCTCGGGCTCCACAATCACCACCTCCTTCCTGACCGCCGACTCGCCCCAAGCCTTGGCAAAAAGGTCGCACAGCACGTCCACCACCTCGTTGTGCCACCGAATCACCAACCCACCCACCCCACAGTTGAGGGCGTGGTCGAGCGAATATACAGCCCCGCAGCCGTCACAGTGGGTGGGCATTTTGGGAGGTTCATAGGCGTACCGGATGGCCATGTTGTCGCGGAACTCGTCAAGCGTCAGGTCGGTGTGGTCCTCTGCGTTAGGCCGGCAAGTCACCCACCCGGCCGTCTTGGCGTCGATCGCCCGGTGGACCGCCCGTCGTCTCTCTGCGGGCAGCTGCTGATGGCCGTCCTCGAAGCGCTCCCTGGCTGCCTCATCGGTCGCCAGCCGCCCCTCCTTGACCGCTTGCTGCATCTCGGCGCGGTGCTTGAAGGGGTTGAATGGAGGGCCGTCGGGTGGGTCGCCGTTCTAAATGATGGACACCAGCAGGGAGGTGCCTTTGGTGGACGTCTCATATGCCGCCGCTACTCGCTCCGTCGGGTCCCTCACCCCCATCCCCCCATGACGCGCAGGCAGCATCATCAGCTGGACCTCAGTGGCGGTCACCACATGGCTGGAGAGCTGGGTGAGGTAGTGGGTGAGAGCATCTCGCAGCGGCTCGAATGTCGCCCGCTCCTCAGGCATCACCCGCATGAAGAAATCCCACTCGGCCTGCAGAGAGGTTGTGAGTGCTGTGTGGGCTGCCTGCGGGTACTTGGCCGCTGCGTCCGCCATCCGGTTGACACACCGCTGCCACTCCTGCACCCTCTCGGTGGCGTAGGCCCGCTTGCCCTCCGCGGTCCCCACAAAGCCCTCCATATATCGAGCACCACTCACAATCTCCACGTCGGTATCGCCAAACACCTCCCGCGCCCGCTCCTTGCAACCCGCCCGCACCACCAGCTTGCTCTTCTTGCCGTTGGGGTGATAGCCCCTCAGTGGCCCTCTCCGCTACAGCTCATCCCACCAGTCGCGCACCGGCTGAAGGCCTCCCACCTTGGCGGAGTCGTCGGCAAACCACGCCTGAGGGCCCTCCTCTGCTGGCCGCTTCATCTCCTACACGAGCGGAAGGGTGGCCACAGAGTAGAAGAGGGAGGCCAAGGGGTCGCCTTGTGTGGTCCCTTCTCGACTCCACAGCGGTGCGGGTTGGTCGCGCATGTAGAGGGCCGTATGGCCGCAATAGGTGTTGAACAGGAAGCGTGAGCATCGCGGCCACAAAATGCGGACGTTCCATAGGGCGGCAGGCGATTCATCGTGTTGTTGGCGTTCGTCGCATCCACCAGGATCGCGCACTCCACGCCACCCGAGTCGAACTCGCCGGATACCGCATGAATGGCACCCTCCACGCCCCCCTTGAGCCCGGTGCATAGCTGGTCCGCACCGCACACAATCTCCGCATCCACCCCGACCGCCTTGGCCATCGCCTTGCCCATGATGCGCATCAGGACCTCCCCGGTTTTGATGGGCCGCACACCCGGTTGCTTGTCCAGACCGATAAGCCGACATGCACGCAGGGCCTGCAGCCGCTCTCAAGGCACGTCCTCGTTGGCGATGTGTGAGGCCATGGCCGCTAACTCACTGCGCAGCTCCGCACTTGCCGCGCCGCCCTTGAGAAGGAGAGTCTTGCACATAGATGACTCACCACCAACAGGGCCGGCACCTCCCCTCGTTGCCCGTGCCGCCCGCTCGATGTGGTTGGCGGTGATCTCGACCTGGGTGAGGGGAGGGAGGGGCCGGTTGAGGAAGCAGGACGAGTCAGGGTCACTTTGGGCGGGGTGCTTCGACTCGAGGACCTCTCGAACGGTGCGGCCCGCAGGGTCGGCCTCAGTCAGGTCGTTGGGTCTAGCGCGCCTCCCCCTCCCCGCTCGGTCAGGAACCGAACGGCCTGTTTGACCTTGCCCTTGTCGACCAGGCGACGGAATTGGCGCAGCGTGGCCTCGTTGGCGTCGTCCTTGCCGACAGGTCTGGTGGCCAGGAGGGCGTTGTTCCGCTCAGCCTCCTGCACGAGCTGCTCGAAGTCGCCCTTCTCCCATTGGTCCATCCGCCGCTCCACCGTCTTGGCGATGTCCTTGCTGCCAGTGACATCTGGCGCCCGATAGAGAATCGTGCACGCGCAGATGAGGATGCGCTCACTCGCCAGCTGCTCCTCACGCCACCGACGAACCTCGGTGGCGAGCAGTCGGACCAGCCGCTTCGTCGAAGCACCCGGTGGATCCCAAAGGCACCCTCGCAACGGGCCGAGGCGGGCGTGCCAGCGCTGCCAGTCGGTGTCCATGAGGCCGCTCTGCTGATTGAAGTCGGTGGCTCCGAAGGCCTCATGCATCTTCTCCTGGACGAATGAAGACGTCGGAGGGCCAGCAGGGGGAGCAAGGGGTATGCCGGGAGGCGGGCGGTGGGGAGGCTCGACCCCATTGCAGAGGCAAGCGTAGCAGATGCCCTTACTCGAGGACGCCGGGCGGATGTGGCAGCTGGCACACTGGGGAGGGACATACGACGCGGATCCGCCTCGTAGCGAAGACTCATCCGAGTGGAAGCAACGAGGATGAATAGAGGGGAAGTTCGAATTCTCGGCGGTGCAGTTATTGTCCTCGGGCTCTCGATTCTCGCATATGCCTAGGTCACAGGAATGGCAGTTGGTGCACTTCTTGCCCTTCTCCAAGCAGGGGCAGCCCCGCTCTTTCCCCTTCCTCTTGCATCTCGATCCAGTGGTCTTGTTCCGGTTCTTGTTGCATGGGCAACACCGCACAGGACCAGCGGCTGGCTGCAAGGGCGAGGCATCGTCTTCCGGCACTGCAGAGACGCCCTCCTGAGACGGTGGGGGCGGATGGGCTGAGTCTGTTGAGACTGGGGTCGATTCTGCACTCATTCTGCAGAGCTGCTCGAGTTGGATATGATGCTGGCAGGTGTGGCCCGAGCAGCCGTCATAGTGAGGAGAAAAAGGGCCTGAGGCCCTGCGAGCTTAGACGATGCCTAAATGCAACCATCCCTCTGAAGGAAGAAAACAGAGACTTCTGGAGTTACTTACCGGCGCACATACACAGATGCTTGGAGGGCAGAGAGAGAATCTCGACTTGACGACCGTGACAAATCTTGCACATGCTGTGTAGCGCAGAAACAGCGTCAGCTTGTGATTTCCTTTCCCACATTCCTGTCCCAACAGCCTACCGCTTGTTTTTTTCTTCCTCCTTCAATAGCCGTTCAGCTTGCTTCACCTGCCGCTCAACCTCAATCGCTTCCTTCAGCTCTTCCACTTGGCGCTCCAGCTCATGCACACGAGCACTCAGGTGGTCACACCTGAAATAACAAGGAAAGAGGAGGACAATACAGCTGCACTGATAGCCCGCTTCCCCTCGTGGCCGCGCTAACCTCTGTGGGTGATAAGAAGAGGAACTAGGTCTTCTCGCCTGCCACACGACAAGCCGTAGACAGGCCGTGTGCATGCCTTGCATGTACATGCTGCTAGTTTAGTGCGTGAGACAACAAGATCCCTCCGGGGTTACAGACACGAGTCTCGTTAAACACACTACCCAACCCCAAGCCGTAGATGGGCACAGGGGAGGCAGCCGGGGAAGATAGAGGGCTGCTGATGAATAAGAGCGCTAGATAAGCCTGCAGTGCATGCATGCGTGGGCTTGGGGGCGTAAGACGGGAGAAGTTGGCCGAGCGAGTTAGTGCCCGTTGCGTTTCATGATTCATTATTGTTCGCTTCCGATATGACTTGAGTCATTCTCTTGAGATCTGTTGCTTCGGCACGGTCTTCGGTCGTTCCGACCGCTTCCCTTCGGCAGGGCGTCTTCCCAAGCCGCCTTTGGAGCCGCAGAGTGATGGTGGAGTGCGCATGTGAGTGATGGTGGATAACGAGTACGTCGCCCAGCTGGTCACCCTCCCGGTGAGTCCGCAGCGGGGCGACGCGAGTATTCGTACGACAGCTAGCTGCCCTTCTGGCATTCTCTTCCCTCAGCCAGATCTTGCTCTCTCCCTGAGTCCATGTGCCTCCTCGTCCTTCCAGGACTCATCCCTGTGCTGACCTACTCCTCTCCTCTCTTCCCGACTGGCCGGATGCATGTCTTGGGATGCTTTTGGGGTCATGTCTCACTGGGATTACATACACGCATATCTGCTTGAGATCTACCTGTCTGTCCGTCTGTGTTGTCTCTCTAGCCTCCCAGTGTGTGCCTACGTATCCACCGCAAGGTCCGTCCCCTCGCCGATCACACACTAAGGCAGACAACACATGCACACCCGCACATCAGTCAGGAGAACACGGGACACTCACTTAGAGCGGACGGCACGAAAGCATATGTGTGGCTGGCTATCTCTCTCTCTCTCTCTCTCTCGGTTGGCTGAGATCAGTTGGTTGTCTGGTGTGTTTGGCTGTGCGTATAAATGGCTGGTATGCTTCGCATGTGGGTTTGATTGTTGCCAGAGAGAGGACATCCGCACCAGGACACTTTCGTAACACTGGTGCATCTACCGTTCTTCTTTTTCCATTTGCGGGTCTGTCGTTTGGCTGCGGGGAGGGTGGTCTGCGCATGGGCGCTGTCGTCATTGTGTTTGGTGTTGGTTTGGATGGATGTGTATCGGTCTGGATGAGAGCGTGATGGTGCCCGTGTGGCTGTTGGGAGGATCAGATTAGCCGCACATGACGAGCCAGCTTCAGCCAGATCTGCCACGAGATCACCGGCACTTAACAGCGCGTCATCTCTCTTGTCCTTTGCTGTCTTTGCTGTCTTTGCTGTCACTGCTGTTGGGACGTGTACTGGTGGTTGCAGGTTGAGTTTGTTGCCGCGTTCTCCTACCTCGACAACACCATCGTCATTTCCCGCACTCCTGCTCTTCTCTCTCGGCTACTCTCTCGCCTCATACGCGTCGGTCGGCTGTCCTTCACTGCTGCCCAGCGTGTGCGCTACCCGTCTTGTTCGAAACCGCCTATCTGATCCTGCTCAAACCCGTCCTACCCTACTGATGCCCCTGCGTCGTCTAGTGTCTGTACCTGATCCTCGTCTGCCCCCTCTCTGCTGTCATGTCCAAGCCCTCATCTCGTCCTCAACCCTCTAATCTCGTCCGTTGCCCCCGCGTCCTCGACCCTCTGATCTCGTTCGTGGCCCCCTGCTCACCCCCTACGACGCGCCCAGAACCATTCGCGAGAAAGTCGACCGCTCGCTCAGGAAGGCGGCTTGCGACCGACAAGACGAGTACGAGCTGGTGGGGTTCCTCTACGCCAAGGAGCAGATCACTGACGAAATAGATGAGCTCGATGAGCGGCGCGACCAGTCGGCCATCTCGTGAAGGGAGTACGACAAAAGAGTGAACGACGCGCATCGCCGTCGGTCCGAGGTGCAGAAGGAGATCGAGCGTCGCACGGCGACTCGGCGATCCCCTCCCCGCACTCGTGCGTCCCGTTCTCGGTCTCGTTCTCGTTCTTCTCGTCCCCCCCATTCGCCTCGTCACTCGCCGCCCCCGCATCGACACGTCACGATCGACAGGAGCGGTGGTGTTGATCGTCGGTCGCGACGTCACGGAGTTGAGCTCAAGCCTGCTGCTATTGTCCAAGCAGAGCAAGCGGCGCGTGTGCAGACGACCGAGGCTGCTGAGCCGTCGCAACCGTCCGAGACCCAACAGCCCCCCACAAGTCCGCAGACGACCACACCACAGCCCCCACTCGCCACGCCCGAGCATCAACACACGCACGACCCCAACACCGAAGAGGTCGACGACCACGAGGACGAGGAGCAACAGGGAGACTCTGAGGAGCGACACGACGACCACGAGGAGCAAGAGAGAGACTCTGAGGATCAGGAAGGCTCTGAGGAGCAAGGGCACGAGGACGAGCAAGAGCAGCAGGGAGAGCAAGGGCAGCAGGAAGCGCTCACAGCTGACGAGCAAGCCTTCACCCACCAGCAAGGCGCACAAGACGGTGCCTCTCAAGCCTACGTTCCCCTCTCCCTCATTCCCGCCCTACCTGCTCGCTCTCCCGGCCCTAGTGTCTTCCCCCTAGACCCGGCGCGCATAGAAGGGCTGCGGTTCTACGTGCATTCTGTGGACCAGCTGTTCTACAAGGGCATCTGGTTGTGCGGCTTCTGCGGTTATCAGTCGGTGCGAGGCGCGTCGATTCAGCAGGGCGGAGAAGCGAAGTTCTGGTTCCAGCGGCCGGCGTGCTGCCCCCAGTGTCAGAGATCCGCACACGTGGCGTACACCAAAGCGGCCCCGGTGTTCGTCTATCCGTACGGGGAGGTTCTCGACTATTCGCAGTACCCCCCAGTGTATCTCACCGAGGAGGGTATTGAGGCTCGCCGCGAGCACATCGTGAACCTCGCGAAGTGATCCCATACCCACTACTGCGACTCCTTTTTGCTGCCCCCTTCCCCGACCCTTTTCCTGCTGATCGCCGCTGCTGTCTCTGGTGCTGATCGTGTGTGTTGCTGTTCGGTGTTGATAGCTGAGAGACCTGTGGTGGTCGGTTCACAGTGGGACTTGTGTGTATATCGTGAACAGATCGATTCCATCTTCCAGTTCGAATCCAACTTCCTGTTCGATCCCATTTTTCCTGTTCGAATCCATCATGTCACGTGCACAGCCACATTCATCCATGCATGCGAGTGACAGCATCTTGGGGCCCATGCCGTCACGTGTGCCATCTGACTCGAATGCTGCTGCTCATGGCCATGGATCAAATGAACCATCTGCTGCTGCTCATGGCCATGCATCACATGACCCATCTGCTGCTACTGCTGCTCTGTTCCATCCACTACAGGCACCGCCGCCTCAGGCACCGCCGCCACAACCACCACATACACCTGCACGCATTGCATCACATAACACTTCATCGGGGCATTCGAGGAGGAATGTCGTCACACCTGTGGATGGAGGTGGGCAGCCGTCCAGCCGTCTCGCTGCGGCGAATGCACAGGCGACGATTACGGCATGGCGGGCGTCCGAGAGGTTGCAGGGAGACCGTGGCGGCCCCAGCGCATCCAGCAGGCCTGCTGCTGAGCGGCCGGACCACACCCTCTCTTTGCGTGAAGTCGTGGCCGACCCCAACCGGCTGAAGAGCATGCAGCTGCGCATGGGGAGCCGTATCCCCACATCCCCAAGCACGAATGCCCGCGCCGTTCTCGGTGCCCATCCATTCGCTGACGTGGGTCGACGGGGCTCTGGGGTCTCCACAGAGAGAGACGCTGCTGGGCTGTCGGACGGGTCGGACAGGTCGATTCAGAGAGACAGAGACAGGCGGAGACGAGACACTGATGACGAAGGGCTTGTGTTTGATGATGACGGTGGCCAGAACTCCTCTTCACCATCGCCGCCCACCCCCAGGAACGGTGGGCCGACACTCGCCGCCACACGTGGACAGTCGGATGGAGAGGTCTCAGGACGGGAGTCCGCTGCTGCAGAGCCGGTTGCCGCTACTGATGGTGGAGCTGCTGACGCAGACGCTGAGGATGACAATTCACCGGTGACGGTGAGGCAGCTCAACACCTCGCAAGACACCCAACCACAAACAGAGACACAGGGACGACCGTCGCAGGGACCTGCTCACCGGCGGTCTGATGACACGTCAGACGAATCGATGACTGTTAGTAGAAGAGAGCTCGAGGCGCTGCAGGCTGAGCTGGCCAGGCTGAGGCGGGAGGCATCCTGCCGTAGCACTCCTGCATCGGTAGAGCTCCGTCTTCGGCCACGAGTGTCTGTGGTGATCAAGTATGGCGACATTTGCGAATGGAACTGGGCTCAAGTGCTGCCTGTTCTGTACCCACCCACGACCTACCAGGATGCGGATCTTTTGTTGGCGACCTTGCAGGAGCAGATAGATGTGTTGGAAGGCCTCACTCATGCGAAGAGGCGGGGAGTCTTCTGGAATTGGGTGCAGAGAGCGGAGGAAGAAGGCATCGTCCGCTACGATGACGGCGCTGGAACGCTCACTCGTGTCACGGCGGACCGGCCGGGCTGCACAGTCAGGCCCATCCATCTCCCGGAGGTTTCGGAGATCCCCACCCGCCCACCCGATCGCACGGCATCGATCCCGGGCGCGTCTGCTGAGTGTGCGGGGGGTGCGGCCGCACGCGGAAGGGCTGCTGCACGCGAGAGGGGCACACGAGAGGTCGGCCGAGAAGCGGAAGCACACCAACAGCACCGGCCAGAGGTGATGCACCCGCAGCAACAGCCTCGCCCACAGATTCCCCGACTCGTATCGGTTGACCCGAGAACCGCAGGGCAGCCAGGGCAGAGTGCACCGTCGGCTCAGCAAAACCATCCACATAATGCACCCAATGAGGACCACCACCCACCCCTCCGCATCCTGCAGCGAACATCTGCCGAGGGGCAAGACCGCCAAGTCCCCTTCACCGCAGTGCGACACATCGAGGCTCCACCCGTCGTCGCAGCGTCCAACCAGCAAGCCCACCACACCAACCAGCCGACACGCGCGGCCGCTGCGTATACAACGGCCGGCGGAAGCGGCGACCCAGATTGGCCGGACAGAAACCCTGGGGGCCGTGGTGGTGGACGTGGCAACAACGGAGGACGGGGGCCTGGTGGAGGGAACAATGGAGGTCGCCGTGACGGTGCTGGTGGAGAGGGGCGACGTGGTGGTGATCGCGATAGGGACCGACGAGACGATCGCCGACGAGATGAGAGGGGCCGTGACGGATACCTCGGCCCCCTCTTCGAGGATG